GCCTATTATTTTTTAAAGTGTGAAATAGACCAAAAACATAAAAATTGGTCTACAGGTGACGATCATATACACCAATCGACAAATCATTTTGCATGGGGTAAGGGTATATAACAGGGCAGAAGCCTACCAAGTTGGAAGGTCATTGGATAATCTTTTGATGGTAAAATAAGTCAAAAAAGATATTCAGGGTGAGATGAAAAAACTGCAACTGCAATTTCAGACTGCTGTCAAATCTAAGCCACTCGTCCGACTGCTCTTAAAATTATTCCAGTGACAGCTCATTATATTGTTTACAAGCGTACCAAAACATTTTGGTGAGAATTTTCAAGAAAAAAAGTTATTCGTGATGGAGATCCAGCGTGATAGTGTGATTTCTTTATATTTGGCTGGAAAACCACAAGTGGCTATCGTTAGAGCACTCCAGCATTTAAATGTGAATAAATCTTTTGTGTCTCGTATTATCGCTCATTACCGTGATATTGGTAGCGTAGCCCGACATCACAGAAGTGGACGGAAGAAACAGCAACATTAGCAAAAATGGTGTGAAAAGTAAAGAAGCGACTTGATCGAAACCCGCAGTATTCGCAGTAGCCGAAAAATGGCTCGTGAGCTGAACATATCGCAATATTCCATTCGGAAAATGAGCTCGGGGTAAAGCCATTGAAATTCCAAAAAGTGCAAGAACTTACACCGCAACAGAAAGAAAATAGACTCAAATGAGCTAAGGAGTTGCTTCGCTTGGCCGAAAGTGGTGAACTGCTGAATTTGGTTTTCTCCGATCTCCGATGAGAAAACATTCGTTGTCCAGCAGTTTGTAAACAAACAAAATGATCGTGTTTACTTGCCAAAGAGGTCAGCTGAAAATGTGCAGCTTCGGTTAGTCACCAAAACTCAAGCGCCGCCATTGTGTCTGGAATATTTTGCAAGGCAAGGTTGGAATAGGGTTGCTATCCTTAAATTTGATTTTGATGACTCTCTTGGTATATGAAATTGAGATATAGAGGTGGTATCGGAGTAGTGTACTATAATTGTACGAAAAGTACTAAAAGTGCCTAATTGGGTATTGAGTGAAGGAATAGAGCTGAAATCCTGAATTGATATTGAGGTTTCTGTTGGTATCTGGAATTAAGATAGGGATGTGGTTTTGGACATGTGATTTTTTTGAAGGACAGATAGACAAAGACACGTAGATTTTTTAAAGAATTTTTTCCAAGGACAGATAGACCACGAAACGTGGATTTTTTAAAGAATTTTTTTCAAGGACAAATAGACCAAGAAACGTGGAGTTTTTAAAGATTTTTTTCCAACTACATATAGACCAAGAAACGTGATTTTTTAAGGACAAATAGACCAATATACGTAAATTTTTTAAAGAATTTTCCAAGGAGAAATAGACCAAGAAACGTGGACTTTTTAACGAATTTTTTCCAAGGACAAATAGACTAAGAAACGTTGACTTTTTAAAGAATTTTTCCAAGGACAAATAGACCAATAGACCAGACGTGGACTTTTTAAAGAATTTTTCCAAGGACAAATAGACTGTTTAATTTCAAACTGAATTTTCATTAAATTGCGTTAATATTACATATTATAACACGGGTGATTTTTCTCCTCCTTAGGTAATGTCTACTACCTCTTAATACGACTTTGTATTTCGTACATAATGTCAAAGGTAATGACATTTCCTAAGGAGTGACGTTTTGTAATTGCCGCCTTTACAGTATTCTACCGACTCTACGAGTACTAACAAGCATAGGATTACGTCCTACTGTCAAAAACCCTTTGTACGAAGGTAATATTGTTCCACGAACAGCCACCCTATAAAAAATATACAGTCCACTGCTCAGTGGGAAAAAATATTAATCATTTGTGTTTTTATTTTTCTCCCATTTTCTTTATTTTCATTTTGCTACGCAAACATTGGTCCTTCGAGCCGGATTTTTCGATCTGTCTCCTTCCTTCACGAGGAAAAACAACAAAGGAACGACTGTTTTGCAGCAAAAACATTGGATTCTACGATCCGTCTCTTTGCCTCACCGAGGATACAACGACTACGTCGTCAACAACAACTACGGGATCATCGATCACCACCATCACCTTTAATAAATTTCATTTCATTTTAATTAAACATAGACCAATAGACCAGACGTGGACTTTTTAAAGAATTTTTCCAAGGACAAATAGACCAAGAAACCTGGATTTTTTTTAAAGAATTTTTTTCAAGGGAAAATAGCCCAATAAACATGGATTTAAAAAAAATTCAAGGACAAATAGACCAAGAAACTTGGATTTTTTTAAAGAATTTTTTTCCAACTACAAATAGACCAAGAAATGTGGATTTTTTTAAAGATTAATGGACTAAGTAACATGGATTTTTTTAAGAATTTTTTTAAGAACAAATAGACCAATAGACGTGGATTTTTTTAAAGAATGTTTTCCAACTACGAATAGAACAAGAAACGTGAATTTTTTACAAGGACAAATAGACCAAGAAACTTGGATTTTTTTAAAGAATTTTTTGAAAGACAAATTGACCAAGAAACTTGGATTTTTTAGGGACAAATAGACCAAGAAACGTGGATTTTTTTAAAGAACTTTTTCCAACTACAAATAGGCCTAGAAACGTGAATTTTTTAAAGAATTTATTCAAAGGACAAATAGACAAAGAAACGTGGATTTTTTGAAAATTTTTTCCAAGGACAAGTAGACCAACGTGAAAACGTGAAATTGATTTGGTATTTGGAATTGAGATATAGAGTTTTTTTTTTTGGACGTAAAGAACTAGATGATAATTAATGTGGTATTGGGTGGAAGGATAGGGCTGTAATCTTCAAATTGGATATCGCTATCTCTGTAACAATAATCGTGGATTTTTTACAGAATTTTTTTTCCAAGGGCAAAAGGGCTAATGAACCTTTTTTTTAAGATTATTTCAAAAGACAAATAACTCAGAAAACTGGATTTTTAAAAAAAGCCAAGAACAAATAGACCAGGAAACTTGGATTTTTTAAAGATTTTTTTCGAAGGACAAATAGATTACGAAACTTGGATGTTTTAAAGAATTTGTTTTCCAAGGACATATAGACCAAGAAACCTGGATTTTTTTTAAGAATATTTCAAAGAAAAAATGGACCATCGGATTTTTTAAGAATTATTTCTAGGGACATATACACAAAGAAACGTGAATTTTTTCCAGTATTTTCTTTAAGAACAAAGACAAATCAGCGAACGTTCATTTTTTACAGAACTTTTTCCAAGGGCAAATTGACCAACAAACGTGGATTATTTATTTATTATTTTTTTTTTTCAAAGGACAAACATTGAATTTTCAGAGCATTTTTCAAAGAATTTTTTTTAGGGCCATTAGATCTCTTGACTTTAAATTTTTAAAGACGATTTTTGAGGACTATCTGTCCGAAAATATTTTATTTTGCTTCATATCCGATACAATGGCTATCAGTATCAAGGTAACGGCCATAAGTGCCCATTCCTTGTATAATTCATAGTCATCTAAGCTTTAGAAAAAAATACTGCAACTCAGAAGCCTTTCCTATTTAAAAATCATATTTTCTTTATGTTCTACGAAGAATATTTGCATAGGGCTGAACAAAATTGTGATAGTCGGCAGGAGTCAAGTAATTTTATGAGTTTTTTTCGGCTCTAACTACTCTAAGGTCTATGGAATTTTATTTCATTTTTCATGGGTCTCTGTAATCTATAAATATTTTTAGAAAAATTTCCATAGTCTCTGGAGTCCTATAACAATTTGAGAACATTTTTTTGTAGGGCTCAAAATCGTATCCCCATTTTTAGACATGGGTCATGGGCCTCCGAGGTTCAAAATAAAAATAATCAAACTCTCTTTTTAAAACAACAATGTATTTGAATGTTAAAGTGCTTCCTAAACAAAGCCAAGACCCTTAACAAAACAACATCCACTTCTTGGCTTCCAAACAACAACAGCTAGCAAATACTGCAAACAAAAGGTAAACATTTCAACTTGAATTTTTCTTCTCCTCCCCTTTTTTCAATTTTCATGCAGTTCTTGGGCAATTAAAATGTCTGCAAATTTTCACTAAACATATTCGCAAGTTTTATTGTTTGGTTGTTGTTTTTTTTTTTTTTTGTTTTCTTGCCTTCTGCTGGTGTTTTGTTTTCGAAAACTATGCGGTTTGTAAATTGCACGGTGGATATTCGTTAAGAGTCATCTTGGCTGGTGGTGACCATAAAATAGGTGCCACATTAGATATTGACAAATTCTTTTGGCCTGCAGAGTGGCTTTTATTTTTGTTTAACGGTTTTCCAGTCATAAAACCGAGGAATAGAAGACGAGGAAGCTAAACGAAGTCTATGGTGGAAAGCTAAGGCCGAGAGAAAAAATGCGTTCATTGATGGCTTGCAACGGTTGGAAGTCATCGTCACCAATATAAACCTGGTGATTGGCAATTGTGGCTGCTGGTGCCTAGGTGGTTGGCGGCGGCGTCGGCAAAAATACCTTGAAGACGCCACCTACTTTCCCACTTAATTCCTGGGCAATGGTGGAGGCATATTTTTCTCTCTTAAATGAAAATACAAATCTGTTTTTTAAACATTTGCATTTTTGGGCTTCCATATTGCAGTGGTAATTATGCAAAACAACAACTACAACTCGAACCTAAAACCACCTTGTTTATGATGGCCATAAAATAGCTGTAACTAAATTGTTGTTGGGAAATTTGTTATTTGCTCTTAAATGTGCTGCGGCCAGCCGGCACAGTAGGTTCCAATTGATTTCCGTTTTTTGTTATGGCCACTCATCAGATTGAATTGTGAAATTCACAACTCAGCAGTTGGCCTCATATTTTTGGATTTTAATTACACCTCCCCTCTCCCACCAACAATGCTTGATTTGATATGGCTGTTAAATTTCGGTATTTAACCTCTTAATTAATAATTATGCTAATTTGGATTTTTTAAATGACATTTTTATTGGAATTTTCTTTATTTTTCCGTTTTTTTAGATGAACCAGCTGTGCAAAGTATGCGGCGAACCAGCGGCTGGTTTTCATTTTGGCGCCTTTACATGTGAAGGCTGTAAGGTAAGTGAAATTTGAAGTCGAAATTTAGGTATTTTCTTGGTTGCAAGAAAATCAAAACAAAAGACTTAAGACACAAACTTCGTAATTTTGAGAAATTTCAGAATCGAGAAAATTTATTCAAAGACAAATAAACCAAGAAATGTGGATATTGTAAATATATTTTCCCAAGGACTAATAGACCAAGAAACGTGTATTTTTTAAAGAATTTTTTCCAAGGACCCACAGAACAATAAACGTGTATTTTTTTAAAGAATTTTTTTCCAAGGACCTACAGAACAATAAACGTGGATTTTTTGAAGAATTTTTTTCAAGTTCAAATAGACCAAGAAACGTGTATTTTTTAAAGAATTTTTTCCAAGGACAAATAGACCAAGAAACGTGGATTTTTTAAAGAATTTTTTCCAAGGACAAATAGACCAAGAAACGTGGATTTTTTAAAGAATTTTTTCCATCCACAAATAGACCAAGAAACGTAGATTTTTTAAAGAATTTTTTTCAAGGACAAATAGACCAAGAAACGTGGATTTTTTAAAGAATTTTTTCCAAGGACAAATAGACCAAGAAACATAGATTTTTTGAAGAATTTTTTCCAAGGACAAATAGACCAATAAACGTAGATTTTTTGAAGAATTTTTTCCAAGAAACGTGGATTTTTTAAAGAATTTTTTCCAAGAAACGTGGATTTTTTAAAGAATTTTTTCCAAGAAACGTAGATTTTTTAAAGAATTTTTTCCAAGAAACGTGGATTTTTTAAAGAATTTTTTCCAAGAAACGTGGATTTTTTAAAGATTTTTTTCCAAGAAACGTAGATTTTTTAAAGAATTTTTTCCAAGAAACGTTGATTTTTTAAAGAATTTTTTCCAAGAATCGTGGATTTTTTAAAGAATCATGAAACGTAGATTTTTGAAAGAATTTTTTCCAAGCACCAATAGATCATGAAACGTGGATTTTTTAAAGAATTTTTTCCAACGACAACTAGACCAATAAACGTGGATTTTTTAAATAATTTTTTCCAAGGACAAATAGACCAAGAAACGTGGATTTTTTAAAGAATTTTTTCCAAGGACAAATAGGCCAAGAAAGCTGGATTTTTTAAAGAATTTTTTCCAAGGACAAATACACTAAGAAACGTGGATTTTTAAAGAATTTTTTCCAAGGACAAATAGACCAAGAAACGTGGATTTTTTAAAGAATTTTTTCAAAGGACATATAGACCAAGAAACGTGGATTTTTTGAAGATTTTTTTCAAAGGACATATAGACCAAGAAACGTGGATTTTGTAAAGAATTTTTTCAAAGGACAAATAGACCAAGAAACGTGGATTCTTTAAAAAAATGTTTTCAAAGGACAAATAGACCAAGAAACGTGGATTCTTTAAAAAAAATGTTTTCAAAGGATAAATAGACCAAGAAACGTGGATTCTTTAAAAAAAATGTTTTCAAAGGACAAATAGACCAAGAAACGTGGATTCTTTAAAAAAATGTTTTCAAAGGACAAATAGACCAAGAAACGTGGATTCTTTAAAAAAATGTTTTCAAAGGACAAATAGACCAAGAAACGTGGATTCTTTAAAAAAATGTTTTCAAAGGACAAATAGACCAAGAAACGTGGATTTTGGAAGCAAAAAGTTTTGGAAATAGAATCAAGTTTTAGAGTAAGTTTAGATTTGTTGGAATTGGTAACCTATGGCACGAATAATAGCCTTAAAACGGCCAATGAAACCATCACACGCTGCCCGAATGTTGCTCTGCGGTATTTTGGGCCCATTCCCGGTGAAGCGCTTGCTTGAGGTGATCGACACTTTGGTATTTTTTACTGCCAACCCTGCATTCCAAAATATTATGGACATAATAATCCAACGGATTGGTATCCGGGGATTTTGGTGGCTGAGTGCGTTGGTGCTGAGTACTGTTGGAATGTCCAAGGTCTGCGGCCAAAATTTTTGCGTGCCCGAGGCTTTAACACACCCTCCAAAATATTTTCGCGATAATAATGTTATGGCGACCCATACCATCACAATGGCCGGCGCTGGAGTTCTGGTGGCCTACCGCAGATGCACATTTTCAGCTGACCTCTTTGGCAAGTAAGCACGATCATTCTGGTTGTTTACAAACTGCTGGACAACGAATGTTTTCTCATTGGAGATCGGAGAATACTGTACAGTAGATGCCTCTGAGGCCGGCTACTTTAGAGTTACTCTGAGGCCAACCACTCCACAATAGAAGTCTGTGAGTTCAGCTACTATACAGTAGTGACCTCTGACTCAGCTACTCTACAGAAGAGGCCTCTGATGCCAGCTACTATTCAGTAGTGACATCTTACTCAGCTACCCTACAGTAGTGGCCACTGAGGCCACTGTAGAGTCATCTGAGGCCATCTAATCTACAGTACAGTCCAAATACTCTAAAGTAGAGTAGCCAATGAGACCGGCTACTGTAAAGTCACTGGAATAATTTTAACAGTTGTTGGATGAGTAGCTTAGAAATGGTGGCAGTCTGAAGTTGGTTGCAGTTTTTTCATCTCACCTTGTATATATTGAAATTTATGCCAATATTTTTTTTTTTCAGAATTTATAAAATATTCAACTATATTTTTAAAGGACAAGAAAATGTCAAAGGAATCATAGACTTTCATTTCAATGAAGTTAAGCAAAACAAAAGACTTAAGACACGAACCTCACTTTAAAGAAAACTTTCGCTTTTGAGCCCATGATTTCTTTGGGGGACTTTAATTTTTTTTCAAATCTGTCCGGGGAATTTTGGATCCTCATAAGCCCACTAAATTTAGAAAATAAAACTATTATCAAAAAATGAATAGAATTGTGACGTCGGTGAACCTTCATTTATTTACTGGCATTTCTGCCAAATATTTTCCCATGACAAAATTGCGTGGTTATTGCATATTTGAATATTTTTAATGCTTCATTTGCATTGAACTTCACATTTCATTATCTTTTATTAATAAACTTCATTCAATGTTTGTGCATAAAAAAAAAGTAATACCAAACATGTGCGGAACCACCTTCAACAAATTTTGGCCAAACAAAAGCTAACAAATCAATGAGTTCATATTGAACTCATTGATGATAGACTAATTCCCATCCTAATATTTGAATTGAAAAAAGCAGCAGAAATCATGGACACCAAAAGCAAAACTAAATCGATTTTTAATTAACCCAAAAAAAAAAAAAAAAAAAAAAAAAAAAAAATGAAGAAGAGAACACAGCACCACAAAATTATAACTCATCCAAATGATGGGAACCACATTTTAAGTGATTGGGGCCTTTAGAGTCGCTCAGTGAATGAAGTTTGAATTTTTTTCCGTATTTGCTTTTGTTGGGTGAATGTGATATCAAAAAGGAGCCAAATGAAGGGAGGGAGGGGAGCACCATCACCATTATTATTATATGTGTGTGCGAAAAAAAATCGACGATGATCTGTATTGAAACGATCGAAAATATCGAGTCTCTTTGCAAATGCAGTCAATCAATACGAAATTACACACATATTAGATGAGTTGGCACAAATCGGAGATGAGACACATTATCAAATGATCATGCCATGCCATGACTCAATAGATCGATCAATAGATAAATCTATTGATTTTTGTTGTCGTTTTTTGTAGGTTATCCATATGTAAACCGAACAAGTACTGATTTAGTTTTTTTTTTGTTCGCCATAAAGTAAAAGTTCAATGCTTAACAATGAAGATCAATGAAAAATCGTCTTTTTTGTTATTCATCACCTGGCAAAAAAATCGGATAGGGGGCTTGTCATGTGAATTGCCCCAACTCTTTGTAAGGGCAAACTCAATTCCAAAACTTTGCATGATTTGCAAAAAAAAACTGCTCACCATGATTTAGATATCTGTTAGTTCGGTGATTATAGGGTGCTTCGTCTTTTCTCTTTCATGCGAAATTCAATAGAAAACTTTCTTGCAAATCTTCTTGATTTGGTTGCTCAACAATGAGCTTTGAAAATTAGTTACGCATATTTGTAACGTAAAATAGGTATTCAAGATGATAGTCTGTTCTCTCCATTCATTAAGGTACTCCATTCATTTGCTTAGTTTTGTTCTTTATTCGAAGATTTCATTGGGAATAACATATTCTTTTTAGTTTCCGTAATATGGGTAGCGTATCGAAATCGTAGTAGAAAGCGTTCAAGGTTAATCAATTAATTTGAATAGTATTTAAAAAAATCAAGATATTTTTGGCCTTGGTTTCACAATTTAAATACCAAAATAAAATTAAAAAATATTTATAAAATTGTATAGGCCTTAGAATCAATGAAAAAGAAATTCCATGAAATATTATAAACGTGAAAGGCTTTTCAAATAGATTTATTATTTTTTTCCAGATTTTTTTTTCAAAGGACAAATAGACCACAAACTGTAGATTTTTTACAGATTTTTTTTTAAATGACAAATAAACAAAAAGGACAACCTGGAGCTTTTACAGAATTTTTTCAAAGGAAAAATAGATCAAAAACCGTAGATTTTTAACAAAATTTTTTCAAGGACAAATAGACCAACAAACCTGGATTTTTTGCAGAATTTTTTCCAAGGACAAATTGACCAATAAAAGTGGATTTTTTACAGAATCTTTTAAAGGACAAATAGACCAACAAAGGTGGATTTTTTACAAACTTTTTAAACGTGGATTTTATACATATTTTTTTAAGGAATATATACCCCAATAGAAGTGGATTTTTTAAAGAATTTTTTTCCAAGGACAAATACCCCAATTAAAGTGTATTTTTAAAATAATTTTTTCAAAGGACAAATAGACCTATAAACTTGGATTTTTTTATAGAATTTTTTTCAATGGACAAATAGACCAATAGTAGTTGATATTTTTATAATTTTTTCAAAGGACAAATATATTAACAAACGTGGATTTTTTGCAGATTTTTTTAAAGGACAAATAGACCAAAGCCTGGATTTGTTTACAGAATTTTTTCAAAGGACAAATAGAACAATAAACCTGGAGCTTTTACAGA